GAGGGGGATGCACCTTTCATTGTGACAGTTGCCACCAAGCCCAAAGGCCATGTGCTTAAATTAATATAATTACTTATATTTTTATTATAATTAATTATATTTTATCTCAACTTTAATATAAAAATTTTAATTTTATAGGGGAAGTGAAGCTGATTTTTCGTTAACATTTTCGAATGTTTTTTTCAAAAGAAACTTCAACCAATCATTCTTATTTGTCCAGACTTGGTTTAAAATATATGTACAGCAAACAATTGATGATAGCGAAGAGCAAAAGTAAAAGTTGAGTTGCTACCTCTGCCCATATCGGAGGTCCCACCCCTTGCAGATGGCGTACTAATTTATCTCTGCAAAATTCCTGCATTTAGGATTGAATTTCCATTCTGATGCAATTCATTTCTTTACCAGCCTTGCCTACTCAGAATTTGGAGTTTTGTTGGTAGACAGCCACGTGCTATAATAGAGGGCAATCAATTCACAATCATAGTTACACTAGAGAAACTTTTACCGAGGTGACCCCTCAGAGTCATCGGTATGATTGTTTTCTTTTTTAAACGAGTTGTTGCATGAGACGCCTACAATCATGAATAAGCACACCAAGTGGGACTACTTGAGTCGTGGGTTGAATGAAGACTAATCTAGCTTGGGCGCCAACTGATTGGTCATCATTTGGTCTCCAGCATGCGGGCCCACAACATGGTGGTTGGTGGGAGTCCAGCTCAGCTCCCTGATATGGGGGAATTGGGAGCCATGTGATATTGTGATGTGAGATCTCCAGCGGCTGTCCTGTCATACATGTCTTGTTGTGCAAATGGGGAATTTCATTAAGCAAACAAAATTGACAAAAGTTGATCCGATTCACTAAATAATCGTCCTGATTGTGAGAGAAGCTAGCAGTATAAAACATAGGAGTAGAATCCAAAGCAACAAAATGTTCTTTCATTGACGCACCGTATTTAGTCAATGTGTCAATCACTCTAGTTACTCCCCAATAGCAATGCCCAATTAAAGAACCCTTCATAGGAGAGGATGGAGGTGGGTATTAGTCCGTTTACAAGTTTAGGTAATGAATATTAATTTTAAAATTTAATTACTCTTTTATATTGATTATGTTAATTTTATTATTAAAAAAACTAATTCTACTAATTGAACTCTTTTAATAATTTTTATTTAAAGAAAAAAATATGGTGCATAGACCTAAAGGAGCTCATGTATAGCATCTGTGCATCATGTTTTAGGTGGCTTGAGAGTTTAGTCTATCATTGTTTCTTTTTTTTTAAACAATTTATCATAAAACAGGCTTAGATCCAAAAAAAAAAAATACATCACTTTAATATAATAAGATACCACTTGACCTAAAGTACCAACTGCATTTAGTCGATATTGTTAAGAAGGTAAAACAACAGAAATTGACGATAAGTGATGACCCACTGACAAAAGCATCCATCATCTGAAGTATGGACGCCGCCCACATTTTTGTCAAAAGAAAAAACTAATATCATACTCCTATCAATTATCAGCCATGGGTTTTGATTCTTATAGCACCAATAATTTGACTGAAACAGTGGAACAAATAGTGTGCCGTAGGGCTTACCACTGCTGCAATAATTTCAGATAAAAAAATGATTAATACACTTTTAATTGCACCTGACGGGGTTCCCGATAAAATTCCGGCAACTCTTTTTTGCACCGAACTTAGGTAGATCCTTAAACAAAGCGTAGAGACTGCCTCAAGGGCTTTGCTTTGGGACTGGTCCAAAATGGATCACCCAGAAGTAATCGTCCCAAGAAGCATGTCTATATTCCTTTAGAGTTTCTGTTCTTGGCTGGATCTGGTGTTCTAGTTGTTTTGTTCATCTATAAACGGTTTACCGTACCCAGGGACTGGAGTCAGAAAAATCAGTTAGGGGATGAAAATTAGTTTTAAAAATTTGAGATTTTAAGGGTGTCCTTTATACTATTAATTTTTTTTATAAAAAAATTTATTTGTGATTTTTTTATTAATATATTCTTAAAAATAATTAAAAATAAATGTATTTGTTATAATAAAAAATAAAATATTATAATAATAAATCATATAACAATCAATTGAAAAATAAATTTAAAAAATGTGTTTATTAATAAAATATTTAAAATATTATAAGAAAAAACATCACAAAATTATATTATTTTAATAAACTCCTTTTGAAAAATATGAAAATAGAATAGGAATGAGAGTGTTTTAATTTATTGAAATAATATAATTTTGAAATATTTTTTTCTTAACTTTTTAGAGGACATAAATATTATAAAAAAAAAAAAAGCCATATTTTAGAGTCTGCGCAAATTTGAACTTCTAATTTATTCACTAATCAATGTATAAACCGCACATGCTAAATGGTTTTCAATCATACATGTTAATATGCTTATCTAGCATACATGATTCAATTTCATTGGCTATTATCAACTCCTAATTCAATTTGCAGGCCACATTTTTCTTTCCATTCAGTTTTCTTCATTTTGGTTGTGCAAAATTATCCAATGTACTGCCTTGGTTGCTTGTTATTATAAATGGAATTAAGTTTGCTTCTACTATTTAATTACGTCATTGGTTCTAGACCACTTGTTGTTGTATCTATTGGTCACATGTTATTTTCCTAGTGCAGTCTTTGTAGCCCCTTGTGCTATATTAGTAAGTTATACATGTCCATTGGCATTGACTTTTCATAGCATAAAAATTGACTCAAACAGTTTTGTCTCATCAATAACAAACTCTCTAAAAATTGACTCATTGCTAGTTAACCAAATACTTCATGTTACAGCAAACCAAATCACAGTCCACACTTAACTAATTTAGGAGGACCACCTGACCACCCATGCTGGATGAAGACTTTATAAAATGAATTTGGCACAACTTGATATTATAACCCAACATGCAAAACAACTAAACCAAAATTTAGAAGCTATTTCACAAGGAACAAGCTGCTGCATTCTTCCATTCTTTGCCTACATAAACCACAAACAACAGTATTATTGTTTTTTTGGTCAATCAAAAGATCCACGTATTAATATTAAAGGCAATTCACACACAAAAAAAATCGCTACTGATTATTCTTTGGGATCATTGAGGCGGTAAAACATCTTCCTGCTGATGCAAAACTTCCAGCTACTGATTACTCTTTGGTATTTGTTAACTCCTGCTAAAATGGGGACAAGTTCAGTACAATATCCAATATTTTGCACAAAAAATTTGAACTATGAAATTTTACTAGTATCCAAGTTGGTGAGTTTGACTTTTCTACTAACGATACACTTATGCAGGTAAATGTAGAGTTAAAGCTGGAGAAAACAGATTGAGGAACAAGCGTAATATGGTGCGCTGGACTCTTTTGAGATACATATCATATGCATTCTTCTTTTTTTTTTTTGAACAGTTACAATTTGGGAGTAG